CTTCAAAGCCAAGTGATTTGTTTAATCAGGGCAGTAACAACCTGATTGTAAGATGGAAAAGCATCATCAATATTATTTCATTTAATAAGTGTTTTGTTTTGAAATATAAGTTGTTCAGGTTTTTCATCTAAAAAAAGCGGCATTAATTTCTTGACAATCGAATATAAGCTATTTAGGATAAACAAAAATTATCCTGTTACAGTTTGCAGACAGAAAAAAATGGGTAATTTAGATTTATTTTGTATTTTTATGGTAGTTAAATTGACTGAGTCCAGGTAGAGAAAATAATAGACAAACTTTTAAGTGTAACTAAAGAAAATGTTGATATTTTTTAGGAAGTTTTAGCCATGACACAAATGAAATTTGAAAATTTTCAGATCAAGAAAAGTATCTTCAGTATTAACATGAAAATCACTTTGCACTCAGAGCAGTCAACACTTTGACTCCATATATTCATCGACAAATCTTTCTCAAAAATACTTATTTAAAAAATCAGATTTTTTGTGTACAAATAGACCTGTTTTCTGAACTCTTGCCAAACTTTGTGAAGATACACATACCTTTTTAAAAGTTATAGTGTGGAAACTGTTGGTTACGTTGGGATCGCAAGGTCAGTGGAATCCATTGACCCTGTAGCAAGAGGGTTAATAAGTTTAATGGAGGACGAATAGAAATTGGAGAATATCAGTGACTCCTCTTTGGTTTAAAAGAGGTTAAGGTAAAATCTTTAGTGATAATGATGTCTTTTATTAAGTTATTGTAAGGCTTTTTCAAAGAGTATTTCAATAGTTTACATATTTAATATTACTGTTAAAATTTTAAAGCCTAATTTCTTTAGAGGTATTTTCTTTTGTGTGTAATTTTTAATCTGTGCATCATGTTTAATTTATTTCAGACCAAGCTAAGGTTCTTCCAAAAGCAAGTGGTCACCCTTACAAAGGCAAACAAGAAAGGGAACACTGATAGCCCGCAGACATCCTGATGAGAACTGGAATTAAAAGAAGTTGAAATAAATTTATTGGAATAATAAACCACTTTCTTTAATGGTACCTTTGTACAACTTCAGTTGTGCATGTTTTAGTTATCTCACGAGGAAAAAGTTAATTATGGTACGACTTTCATGTTAAGACCATCTGTATGTGAGAATATATACAGTCCTGGGTTATTGGAAAAACATACTTTTAGATATTTGTAAAGTTGTGGAAGAAACAATGTCCTGATAAAGATCATCATCAGATTTTAGTATGATAGGTAGATTTAACTGTGTTACCTCTGGATATTCAAGTGTTTATGATGACGTTCGTTATTATGGCCTAATACTCTCACAACTATGATTATTTTAACTGTAATTTTTTAACATCTCATTAATATTGTAAATCATCTTAAGAAATGTTTTTATTAGCTAGCATTTTACTTTCTTTTTATATAACTTGAAGATTAGAAAAATTCATGTAAATACATGTTTAAATTCATCCTAAGTTTTATATTTAACAAGTATATCTAATTTTCTTGACTATATTAAAAAACAAAACATTTTAATCAATTTTACCACAGTTCTTTATTAACAAGTTTTTAATGAGAGAAGCTGTAGAAGAAAGTGGTTTTAGTAGTAATAAAGAAAACACATTTCTTGGAATATTTACTATGGATCAGACAAAATATCCTCCTGGTTACTTGAATTATTTCTGCATGATTCAATTGTTACGAGTTCTTTCATGGAATGTTTTAATGATCTTCAAATATTTTTCATTTTTAACCATTCTGTTGATATTTTAGACAACGTCTTTTGTAAGTCAGACACATTTCTTAGTGTAAACTGTCATTTTTCACACTGAATGTTATTCTCCCTATTGATACTTTTCAAGATTTTGAATTAATTATGAAAAAATGAAATATCCATCAAGTTTTCCTCCCCTAGTATTTGTCTTGTGAGCATTACTTTATTAAATACTGGGAAAAAAACATTCATGAAATTTTGTTAAACAATAAGGTGTCATTTTATGTTCAGAAGGGAACTTATATGGAGAGCCAGATGTTTTAATTTGCTAAATATAATTGTTGTGCATAATCATGATTATATGAGAAATTGGTTATTTTCAGTTATAACAAAACACCCTTTACGATCCATTCAGTGCAGTAACAGAAATGAAAATTATCCCTTTCTTTTCACATGTATTAACTGATCCAGATATTGTTGACACTATACCGCCCATGATGGGCTAATGAGTTAGGCGTGTCACCACAGATTCGAGATCATACTATCATGGTAGTAGTTGCAGAATCCCACAGCCAGAAAAACCAAGAAAACATTCAATAATAATAATATTATACCGCCCATGATGGGCTAATGAGTTAGGCATGTCACCACAGATTCGAGATCATACTATCATGGTAGTAGTTGCAGAATCCCACAGCCAGAAAAACCAAGAAAACATTCAATAATAATAATATCAAAGGTATAGTTTGTTAAAACTGATGCTGTTAAACAGTAATTGGTTATAGTTTAGTTACACTTAACCAATTATCATCCAGGATTTTATAACTACCTTCATAGGTATAGTTTGTTAATATTGATGCTGTTAAACAGTAATTGGTTATAGTTTAGTTGCACTTAACCACTTTATAATTAATTCCTGCCACCACTAACTACAAGTGTTAAAATATTTGGATAGAAATACACTTAAAACGTTAAAAGTAACACTTGTATTATTGAATCATTTTTAGATGTCTAACCTTTTACATAAATGTTACATATTGCAAGAAATAAGATATCGTTTGTCCAGTAACTTATGTAGTACAGTGTGAACATCACTTTATGTTTAATTGTGTTTTCAGAATATTTCTATTAGCTATTATAATCATCAAGTAACTATTATCGGTGTCTGACTTTGTAAGTGTACAGTATCTTTGGAACGTCTTTAGATATGAAAGTGATGGAGTTATTACAGAATTTTGTTCACTTATAATGATGAGGTAACTGATATGATCTTACAAGCTTATTATGGTTTTAATACTTATTTGAAAAGCTCTTCAGTTGCTTTTCACACAAATCTTTTAGGAAAAGAATGGACAAAATGGATGTATTATGTCCAAGATGTTTGTCTCATCAGATCATTTACAAACAGTTGAATTTTATGTTCCAGAATAGAGTAACATAACATTTTACCTATTCATTATATCTATTGTAAGATCACATACTAAGTTCTGTAGTACTTTTCGAAAAGTTAGTAAACTTATTTTACACAAAATTGTTATATATATATATATATATAACATATACATATATATATATATATATATATATATATATACTATATAATATAGTTACTTTAGTTAGTTGTTAGGTTACGTTACGGTACTTAGTTTATTAGTAGTAGAACGAACGTACCGTACCCAAACCTATTACTTAATT